CAGGGGCGGAAATGGAAGAGACACGTGGATCAAATCATCATGTACAACCGAGGAAAAAGCGGAAATTCTATTGAACAGGAATTTACTACTAATGTACAAATGCCATCCAGTACAAGTTCTGGTACATCACCTACTCATATGGAGACAAATTCAGCTACGTTGCCAACAACAGTCTCTCCTGAAGTACAGGAATCAACAAGAAGTCTGCAAGCTACACCACATACTACTACTCAAACAGTCCAACAAATAATGATGCTCAACCAAATTCTTCAGTTCAGCCTCAAGCTCAAGAAACTGATACATACAGACGTTATCCTACTCGAGAGCGCAAGCCCCCGAGCTATCTACAGGATTACAAATGTGACAACAATTAACTCTTAGATTTAAGCACATTTCAGCAATCGTTCGTTTTTTTTTTATATAGATATTGTAATCATATCTCAATTTAGAAGGGAGGATGTTATATGATTGGATTACCTGTGTAATACCTAGGACATGCGCAGTAATTAGAGTAAAAGGTTGATTCCACGTGCGAATCGTGTTTGGGTCTTTTCTTGACATTTTATCATACTTATTTCGAGATACAACAGATTTCTTTAATGTAAACTTTTTATGTTATTAGTAAAGTCGTCATGGACATACTATCAAAAACCTCCTTGATAGTCATGATGGATGACCCTTTGATGTCTGGCAGCCTGGCAGAGTTTCACAACCAAGTTCAGGGTGGTTTGTTGCAGGGGTCTGCAAAGTCAGGCCTGTCTTCACCGAAAGGCAGTATTCTGATCTCAAGCAATGACCCTGAAGTGTCAAGGTACAATGTGCAAGCATTACTTCATTATTAAATGTATGGTCGCTGAAGAAATCTCTTTATCTTTCAAATCAATCTGTTAAAAGTGAGTAAAGGAGGGAAGAGGGAGGGTATCGTACTTTAGGTTTTATATGGACTAAATGTAATGATTATTTTCTTAGGATTGAGGGAAGAGTTCTGCGTTTTGACTATAGCAAAACAGCAAATTTTGCAGTAAACAGTTCTCTTGAGTATACACTTACTGATATTTGCGATCAAAACAAGGTAATTGACCTGATATTTCAACCAAAATCTCAATATCCCAATTTACAGTGAGTGTGTTTGCAACTGAATTTCATAAATTAAATACATTATTGACTTATATTGTATTGATCTAACAGGGCCTACTTGTGGCTTGGGGCATGAGGTACAATGTGCTGTGGAATCAGGTGGAAGACGAACTTATCCCTTCACTGAACACATTGGTGCAAAAAGGATTTCCGAAGGCACAGTCAAGACGGGTGAAGGCCGTTGCCATTTCGAAAGAGGGTATCAATTTGCTTGGTGCAGAGGTCACAACACAGGTAATAACCATATTAATTGTTATAATCACCATCACAGCTGAAACGCATACAGTCCAATTCTTGTTTTCAGTTTTAGTAAATATTAGTTAAAGATGTTTTTTGTCTTCAAAGTAAGAAATTCAATGATTATGCAAACTTCATAAGGCAGCCATATTAGCATCCTGATGTATAATATATAATTAACTTATTTTCCCGGATGTTATAGTGCTTATTTTGTACTTAAATAAATGATAGCACTAAAAAGCGGACCATACTTTGCCGTACGGGCCAGACTCTATTGTAGTAAGTTGTACTGCATAATAGAGAGTGAAAAATGAATCCAAATTTTGCCATGGAGGTTTCTAGGGCTTTTCTTTTTTCCTTCTATTTTGAATGACGAGAAAAGTATGAACAAAAACTTATTTTTATGTCCGATTCTCTATAAATTTCACTATTTTACCCTGAAAATGCTATTATATACGTAATATATCTTTTTTATAAACCAAGTTTGCTCGTACTACGAGTTTTGGCCATAAGTCATTGGAAAAAAACTTGGTCCATCACTTTCCGTACAGTCCTTGCGCCAAGTTAATAAGATATTACTAAATATATTATCTTTTGTCAGTGGTAAATTGCTAAGTATTAATGATCACCTGAATCATTATGTTTCTACTCAAAAGGAGCTTGAAGAAGAACTGAAAAAAATTGTGACATGGAAGACATCATATCAGCCATGCACATTATTAAATGTATGCATTATTAAATGTATGCATTATTAAATGTATGGTCGCTAAAGAAATCTCTTTTTCTTTCAAATCAATCTGTTAAAAGTGAGTAAAGGAGGGAAGAGGGAGGGTATCGCTTTAGGTTTTATATGGACTAAATGTAATGATTATTTTCTTAGGATTGAGGGAAGAGTTCTGCGTTTTGACTATAGCAAAAATTACCAGTGCTGACACCAATCTTAGTGATCTAAGAAGGAAGAAAGGTGGGGGCAACACCACAATTAGTAAACGGGCTTATAAAATCCCTGAACAAGTGCTTCATCCCCTGCATCACATGTTCTAACGCGGAAAAAGAGAACTGCTGCTTATTAAAACACTGTGTATATCAGATCACTTGTATGCATTGCAATGCAGTTTACATTGGTGAAACTGGCAGAACCATCGGGTCTAGGATTAAAGAACATGTGAACACACAACAAACTGTCCATGTTCATATGACAAAACACACCAGTGAACCGAGCTTTAATGACTTAAAGTGGAAGATCATACATACCAACCTACACAATGTACGCGAGCGAAGGATAATAGAAGCCATTGAAATAAAGAACACTAGCTCTGACACCCTTATGAATGGCTGCGTTGGACGTTACTTAAACATTTAATAACAATGAACCTAATAATATATTCGCATAACTTTTGTAATATATTCAAACCTTAGCCATTCAGTTGTATCCACTGATGAAGCCTGAAAAGGCGAAACGTCTGGAATAAAGTTATCGACTTTATATGCCTTAAGAAGTATTTCCCCAAAATTATATTATTATCACAAGGCATGGCAAACCACTACTTTTCTTTGATTTTGTAGCAACGCTATTCTTGAAAAAAAGCACGAGCCAAGCACTCTACAACACGCTTCTACGGTACCCGCACTAAATTAATCATAGTTTGCAATAATTTACTTAAATTTAGCAAAATTTAGTAAAAAATAGTCTTTTGTAAGTATTGCACGGATATATTGCTTGCACTCTATGAACAAATGGTTGTTTCTTATTGGTTCATACTGGCATACTTCCGCTCTATGTGTTTTTAGGATCACCATTAGATTATTCTTATTCTTTGCGCAAAATGTCGCTTTTTATTTAACTGCAATATTTGCTTTAAAAAATTTCCATCTTCGCGTGCTTTGGATAAGCATGGGATCGCTAAACATGGTAAAGAATTGTCGCAGGAAAGCGTGTTTTACGACGGTAAAAAAAACGTTCCTTTGCCAACAGGAGGCCTTGTGTCAGCTGATGACCAGGAATATTATCTGGAATGGCTAGCTTGCGTTACAGAAAGAATAAACAGTACACATCACCCTAAATATGAAGGTACTAACTCGCTTATAATAATCATTTTTTATGTCTAGTTTTGCTTTAGAGGATTGCGCTATTACACACAAGGCTGCCTTTGACAAATACAAGGAATCGTACAGACGTTAAATATCTGTTGAATATAAGTCAAGCCCTAATGTTTTTCATAATTAGGTTTTCTCTCGTCAGTGGTATTTTATTTCAATAATTTTTTTTTAGCTCGATGGGTTCGAATTGGCATCATGCAGGTTTTTGTTAGACACGTGCTTTGGAAAATAAATGCAACCGTACACAGTGTCCGTACGATGTCCCATCTAAAGCAGCCAATAATGGTTGCCAGCTCGATGAGATATAGCTATAAAATCTTTGACGAGGAAGTATTCAAAAATCTGTTTCAAGAGCAAGATAGAGTAAGACTGATGATGAACGCGGTTTTTTCAAGTTCTGGGGCAGCTATACAAGAAGATGTTTACGACGAAGACGATCCCATGCAGGCAATAAAAGCCGCAAAGGAAAGAGGCCTACTTCCACGTAACCAGATACAAACGGCTAAGGTTAGGAGTGCTAGTACAGTTGGAGAAGGAGAAGGACGCCGAACAAGAAAGTTTGAGGTCCAGTGGTGGCTTAAATTGTATAAAAGCTCGTATGGAAAGCTTACTCTGCGCTTTTACGTCTACAAATTAAGACTATGGACATTAATTTCACTATTGAGAGATTGAATTGTTATAATATATCACGTTGCAGTTGGTCCAGCATTAAATACGAATTCGAGTATTTAAAAAATCCGTAGGTTTATTCCGCATGTAAAACCCTTACTACTAATAAAATGCCATTTTAAGGTGAAAGTCGCTCTGCGATAATAAAACCTAGAGATATTATAATGGAAACAAAAGCTAAAGGAGCTATATGGACGAACAATACGTGCAGTCGCAGTTTCAGGTAAAGGTAAATAACACTCTGTTCGCAGGGTATTACACATCATGTGCAGTATTATTGTTAGGTTTTATTTTTTTTGGTGAAAAATATAAAAGGTTTTGCAAAGTTATGAGTGTTTCTATTTGTGTTTTTAAAAACCCATGAAATATTAAAGCATTACGCTGTATTTGTTCATAGTGTGATCATAGCTAACGAACTAACTTCCGGCAAGGACGGCGCTATATTGTATTATTAGTCTCTGATAAATTTTAATAGTAATTTGTATGTAATATATCTGGACAGGCACGTGAAATTGTATTTTTATATAGGATTATTTCCGGCAAGATGGGAAGTGTTGATACCAACAAAAAAGCTAAAAGAACGCTAAATAATTGATACAACAAAAAACTATATAAAAACCTAAAAAATTATAAAACTAAAAAACTATAAAAATTGATAGTTTTTATACACCGCGTCTTAAGTAGTTTGACATTTATTTTAAAAATGGTAGTTGACACAATACTAGGACTATATATCGATAGTGGGTTTTTTATATGTCATTAGTGATGCGGCAATGAAATGTCCGCTTTTTGGACGATCCCGAGCACTTTCTGCAATGCAAGCTTCTAAGAGTGAATACGGGGCTCTGTCTTTTTTCTTAGAGCAGCTTCAAAATCATTCCAAAAGAAAAAATATCGCTCGCTTGAGATGGCGGGGATGTGTATTGCAACACTTCAGGTGCAATCCAAGGATATCGTGATGCATCATGTTGTTTGGTCTTGACTTTTGCTTTCTTTATCAAGCAACTTTTGCCGAAGTCAATGATGACAGGATTCCAAGCAGGAGAAATATAGTGTACGACTATATTGTTCTCTTTTAAGTCATTATGGAGCCATCCACACGATTGAATGTAGCCTAGAGTTCTCGCAAGCTGAATAGCCAAGTCAACCCATTGCTTGAATTTTAAAAGTTTCTCCTTGATAGCATTGCCCAAAGCATAGGTTCTATCTTGTGCACCGTTTAACTGCGTTACTAGAAGAAATGAGAGGCTGTCAAGATTGACTCCAAACAATAGTGGCAAAGAGATATGGTGCTGAGTCCTTTGAAGATCTTGAAGAGCTTCGGATTCGCGTTGAACTTCGTGCCTTTGAATCGATTTTCTGAAAGACTTGATGACTACGGGTATATTTCCGTGGTAGAAACCTTTATAACAAACTCCATACGTGCCACTTCCAATTATGTTGGTTTCGTCTTGTGGTGTTAGGTCTCTGCGCTGAATAGTGACTGGCATTGGTGTTTTTCCTGACGATAAATGCTGCTCCTTTTGAAGATTGGTCTCTTTGGTGGCTTTGGCTGGTTTCACAGGCGTTTTAGACAATTGCACCATTCTTTTTCCCCTGTCCAAAGACCAAGAGCACTTTGATTTATAAATCTGTTTGGATGCCTTGCTCCACTTGCATTACTCCCGCCGTCACTTCATGATCAGGCCCATTGTTGTCTGCCTGATTCGCTCGCTGCTGCCTTTTTAAAACCTTTATTCTTTCGCGACGTCTTTTCTTTTCTTGCCTCCTCTCTTCTGCCGTATGTAATCGACTGTAGCGTTTGCGCGCTGCTATAGTTTTGCCATCCATGATAAAAAGCACGTGAAGATAAAAACGTTTTGAAATGATACACTGCGACTTGTAAGATAGCCCTGAACGTGTCTCTGAAGTTTACGCGTGAGATTTAAAACCCTTGTTGAACGGAAGTTGATTTTGCAATAAGCTATATACAAATTGTACATAGCTTATTGCAAAATCAACTTGCGTTAATTATATAATAGGTAAATCTTCAGCTTCAGCTGAACAAGGGTTTTAAATTTTCACGCGTAAACTTCAGAGATACGTTCAGGGCTATCAAAATGTCTCTTACAACGCAGTGTGTTTGTTTCAAAAAGTTTTCATCTTCACGCGCTTTGGACAAGCATAGCATTTTAAACATGGGAGAGAAATATCGCGAGAGAGCAAATTCTATGAGCTCAAAGATGGAATTCGCACTCCGGTATCTTTGCCGGCTAAGGGACAGTTGCTTGCCGTCGACAGTCAAAACTATTGTACMTGGCTGGCCTGTGTTACTGAGAGAGTTAATAGTATGCATCATCCCAAATGTGAAGGTGAATATTTAAATATTACTTCTATAACAGGCACTTGCAGTTAAACTCAATACTAAAGGCAACGATGTGTTAAGTAATGGTCTGTTTAAGTTCTGCTTATTCATTTACATATTAATTTTTGAAAATTGAATTTGCGAAACTTTACCCTGTTCACTCCAAACCGTGTTCAGTTAAACATGCTTAGTTTTGCATTTTTAGAAAATTATATTTGAAATTAGAAAGCTCTGTAGAATTGTTTGTTACATAGATATCTTCAGGGTTTGTATCTGACGCATAAATCCATGAGATGTCTTCAGTGAACAAAAAATTGTGGACTTAAAACTAAATGCGGCCTTTTCAAGCGCGGGAAACTTCATAGAAGAAGACCCTTACAATGAGGACGACCCTTTAGAAGCYCTGAGGGCGGCAAAAGCGAGAGGACGSCAGCCGAAACAASTACAGATAAAGCCCCGAGTGCGGAGTACAATTGTGATTGGWGAAGKGGAGGGCCGACGAACAAGGGAATTCGAAGTTCAGTGGTGGCCCAACATTTACAAATCTTCCTTTGGGAAATTATCTTTGCGTTTTTTTGTGAACAAAATACAGCTTTAATTGTTTTTCTTTGTTTCACGCATTACACTCAAATGACCGTGAACTTTGTTTATAGACTCAAATTATCAAAGCCTTTTTTAAAACACTGAAATAGTGAACTATCTACAAAATGGAATGTTAATTATATGTACATTGGTATAAATTTTAATTGGAAATATTCACATGTCGAGATCATTAAGCATATATATATATATATATATAAATTGAATAAATTAAGAAAAAGCCACGCAACTTGTAATTAGGTTTTCTACTTTTTATTGAACATTTTTACACTCAGTGTAAAAAAACGCACAAATGAAGAAATGATATTAAAGTAGCTAGCCTTTTTCATTATATATCGGAGCCAACTATGAAACGATGAATTATTATTATGTTTCCTGTTCTTTTTAAAAGTG